TCTGGTCACTATTCACAATGTGCAGAAGATAACAAACTAATTCAAAAAAACAACTCTATTATTAAGATACAAAATTTCTCTCTCTTTTGCTCTCCCTCCTGCCCTCAGCTACTCAGGGAGCAGACACTGTGAAATGCATTGCATGGTATCACCAATCCCCCCCACCCCCAAAACAGCCACCATAACAAATTTTATGAGACTGTTTTCATTTTTTTTACTTTTTTTTAAAAGCCTCCTTCAGTGTAGGTTAATGGCATGAGGCCTGAGCACAATTCAATTCAAAAGTAACTTCACAAAGAACTAGAACTGTTTAAACTATTTAATAGTGTTAATCTTCACTGAAAACACACGACCACCATATATACACACATGCATATGCATTTTCATATATATATATAAACACATCTATACATACACACATACACACTGTACTTTAGGGTGTTAGATTAAGAACATGAGTAAAAATTCATTCAGAAACCAGAAGTATAGTTGAGTATTAGAATGAACTTTTTTAAAGTTCTATTAATAGAAGCTTTAAGGTAAATATTATCCACCAGAAGCATTATGGCAGTTCAGCAGACCTCAGGATCCTACCCTCTTGTTTTAAACCATTAATTCTGTAAGACCTGTCTATATATTCATTTCCAACTTACTAATGGAAAAAGTCATAAATAGGGTAAAAAGTATTTTTGAAAGTCTCCCAAGGGGACATTCAAGGAAATAGTCCAGCTTGAACTATAATTCTATTCAGTTCAGTCAGTTCAACAGCTCTTTATTGCATGCCTGTGGGGTAGATGCCACAGGGGATTCAGAAATGAATGACAATGGACCCTAACCTCAAGAACATGATATATGGTCTAAGGAAGTATGTGAACGAGGTGCAGAAATGGGAAGGGGGAAGAAAAGCAATAACAACAACTCTTCCTCTAGCAAGCGGAGTCAAGCAAGTGCGCTTAAAAAGGCAGAGAGTTCTGTGGAGGGTCCTAGGTGTCAGTTGAGATAAGCCTGTAAGGAAAAGTAAGTAGAAGATGGACAGATGGGAGATGGATTGGGGAGGAGGGGTGGAAAAGAGGTACTAATACACATTTAACGTGGTAGGAAATAGCTCAAGACTGCAGATCTCATGATCACAGCCGTGGATCAATTCATTGATCTCCATAAACATACTGCTTCTACAATAGAAAATACCTTTTAGGAAACAAAAAATGGAGACCAAACTAATTGAAAAGAATCCATGTTGTCTCTATCTTCGCAGGAAAGTATCTTGCAGAGAAGAAACCTGTTTGGAGCAAATTAGTATCTTCTATTTACTAAGTTGTACTCAAGTACATTCTACTTGATAAAAACTTGTTTCTGAAGATCAAACTTAACAAACGCACACACTGTCCTACTTATACTAATTTTAGGTCTCTATGCAGATAGCCATGAACTAAAAATCTTACCCAACCTTAGGCTTCAACTTGGATCTATTCTTCAGAGGAAAAAGACTCTCACATTTTGTGTTTTAAAATTTTTTGCATGCAATCATGAGTCATTGATTGATTAAAAATCAACCTGCCCTTTGTTCATTAATCTGACCCACATGGACTTTATAGAGAATAGTCACTTCTGCTATAATTTTCTGTTCTAGGTATATATGCAAACAGAAAAGTCTTACTAATGACAGTATGTCTCAACAGAGATACTCTCATAACAAACTCCACAAGTTAGTGATATTTCCCAAACTAAGTCTTTTAACTCCAATGAAAGCAGAAATAGAAAAATGTCCCCATAGAGAAACAACTAAAATAAATGTAAATGACCTATTGATCATTGAAATGAACTATTTCTCTCTCGTACATAGCAGTATTAGAAACTTTAAATAGTGGAAATTCCCTGGAGTACTAAACTATTTTTGCTCTCTATATAGCAGTACTGAACTTCCTTGTTGCATTAAGTCACATTCAAGAATAATAACCAGGCCAAAATAACTATGTAATTTTAGGCCTTTTGTCCTCATTTAAATTTTAGAATTCTTTGAGACATTAATACATCTTTCTCCTTTGACACTGTTACTAGACTGTTTTTCCATCAATTTAGGATACAGAAATGAATGTATAACAATACAGAGATGAATTCAGATTTATAGAATCTAGAATTATTCTAAACTTATTTTTCTCTAAATATTGGTGTTGAGAAAAAGTATTTAGTATGGCAAATACTTCTGAGGTATATGTAGATTATAAATTCATTATATGATAATGAACTTTTAATCATGAGAAATATTTTAAAGCTACGTTTTTGAGAATTCCACAATTTGTTAAAAATCTCCAAAAATGATACAATAACAGTTGTTTGTTTTTTTCTACTATACAAGTACACCACAAGAATGTATTCAAAGTATAGATCTTTACATGTAGGAGGTGCTATATAAACGTTGAATGAATGGTTAATTTCAATGAACATGGGAAATAAACACTCATTTTTACAAACTGCCACTCATTTATAAATGGTAAGTTGAAATATCAAAAAATATTGTCTATAGGAAAAACAAAGTATTGAAGATCATTAATCAGACGTTTGGGAAAGAATGGGAAGGAGAAAATAGCGGTTTCTCTGCCCTCTGGTGGCAATAAAATCAACTGCAGCATTTCTAAAGTAATGCATAATTAAACGTCCCTGTTATGAAATCAGGTTTTTCCCGCCTGTGCCAAAATGTCTGTGATAAAAATCCTGATTGCTACATGGCAAATTTCAAGACGGTTGGACTTTTTAAAAATTTCCCCATGTTGAACTTTTACCTAGACTATTTACAAAGGAAGCTATTTTTTTCTTCTACTTCTTTGCTATATTTTATATATTCAATAGGCTAACCATTTAACTTCAAGATTATTCAGCAACTATATGTAGACTGATATCCAGTAAAGAAGCGACTTCAGTTTGCAATAAATCTCCAAAACATTTACCAAGAAATTTAAAAGCCATTCATTTTTTACTCAATCCTATAAATATATGGGTTTCTAGGGTAATTTTCCACCACAGATACTAGTTTATAATTAGTTTGTAATACCTGTACATTTATGTTGAACAATTTAGGTATTTTCTAAGCCACAAAGCTTTTAATTATCTGGTCGATTTTAGAATGGAATGTTCACTTCATCCTCAATTTGAGAACTTAGAATAGAAAATGTATACATACTCTTCTTTCAGTAACATATCGTTATGAAAGAAGCTCAGAAAAAATATTTGCTGACCTTTATTTTATTTATTTTTTTACTGTAAATGCATTATTTATTTTCACTGCCAAAGAAGTTTTCAAATAAACAACTTGGGATGCATTTTGGCACACACATCTCTCTAATCTCCTTTGGGATGAAATAAATTGTTTTCTTTAAGCATCTACTTATTCCATGAATGTCGTGATACCATATCAATACCATAAGGTAAAAGTCTTATTTTTTTAAGCCAATGAAATGTATCAGAGAATTAAACAAGAAAGGATAATCTACTGATATGATACCTAGTAAAGAACAACCTATGTCCATTTATGCAGAACAAAATTGTACGTGACAAAGACAAATTAACATCAAGAACAATGGAGTTTTAAAGTGTTTCACAGTTTTACATCGTGTTGCCCCCTCCTCCCAACCCACACACCCCTCCAATCATAAATTGGAGCGCAGAGTCAGAATCTGTGCTTTCTCTATAAGAATTTACACGAGGGGTAGAGACAGTGTTTTGGTCAATTTCTAGGTCTCCGATTGGTAAATTTCATTCAAGGACTTTCTCCAAGATTCACCTCACCTGGAGTCCCCAAGTAACCTCGGTAGGCTTCCAGTCTGCGACTTTCATGTTTGACATTTGTGGACACATGTATACTTTCTGAGGAAGCACTTACACAACCCCCACCTTCAGAATTAAAACAAAACAAAACCTTGATTATCCTAATCAGAAAGTTTTTGTTCCTTTTTTTTTTCTCCTCCAAATGTTTTTGTTCATTTCACCTCCTCTGGAAGGCTAACCTGAGTTCACAAATTTCTGCCAAGAGCTCTCTCTCTGCCTGTTTCTTCACTTTCTTCCTGAGGGGCAAAAACGGTGAGCAGGACCCAGTTCTCAGTGGGCAGTGTCGCGAGAGGCACCTGGACCTCGGCTCGGCTGCGCCTAGCCTAAGAGAGTCAGACGGCCGCGGGTGGAGGGCTGCTCCGCAGGCTCCCCGCTGGCCCTGAGGGCGCGGCTCCCGACCCGACGCGCACCTGGCTGGCATCCGCCGGAGCAGGAGACACTGCCACTGGGAAGGAGCAAAGACCAGATCTCCGCGTGTGGGCAATGCCAAGGCACTTGGACGAACCCCGGACACGTTCAGGCCTGTCTGCGAAGCCGGCCGGCGGAGGACAATGGGGGCAGGGATTGGTCTCCAGAGGAGCGCCCACCCCACTTCTGCCACCTCCACCCCTCCTCTGCGCCCCGCCGCACCTACCCCGCCCCACTTCCAGAGCCCGTTCAGCCCCAGACAGCTAAAGGGAGCTGAGGTGGGGTTCACCTAAGGAAGGAAGGTGCGGCCACAGTAAATTTTTTCTCCAGCTAGCGGGGGAACCCTGCCATACCGGGCTGCCAGCACGTCCCCCACCCACAGCCCCCATCACGCACTCGCTTAGTTGTCGCGGCAGCAGGGAAGCAGGAGGAGCCGGAGGGGAGACTGCCCAGGGATGCCAGTTCCTGGGAGAGATATCTACAGAAGGTTTGCTCTTACACACCAGAGCCCTCTCTGGGCGACTTGGGGAGACGGTACCACCCCCTGTCGCTCAGGTGAAGGAAGCCCGAAAGCCTCAAGAAAAACCCCCAGTCCCCTTCTCTAACCAACCCTCTTCTCCCCATTCGGAAAGCCCAAGTTTACCCGAAAAGCAATTGCAATAACTTTCCCAAGGGCACACAAAGTGGGGGTGGGCTGAGAATGGGGGGTAGGGGGGCGTTAGCGAGGTCTTCAGTTGCGCACAGAATCAACAAGCGAAAGTGCATCTTACCATTGATTTGGTTTCCAGGCTCCCCTTCAGTGAACTGAAACCGGTCCATTAAAAAGTGGCAAAGTAACACAACTCCTGTAGCGGCCAGGTCGGCCCTCGGGAACCTCGCCATGCCGCCGACGCGACCTCCCTCCCCCTCCCCTCCAGTCCTTCCCAGGCGCCTTGTGCTCCGGGGCTCCGGGTGGGAATGGGGACGATGGGGCAAAGCTCTGCGGACCGGTCTTGGCTGAACCTGGAGGCCTTTGTAAATTTCGATGGGATTTCACACTCAGGAGCTGGGAAGAGGAAGAAGGGAGAGCGAGGGGGAGTGCAGTTCTCTCTGGACCTCCGGGTCTCTCTTCGCAACTTGCCACAACACTCGCAGCCCTCACCCCAGACACAGGACAACTGCGGGAAGGAAAGGCCACTTGCAGCCGGGTCTCGCAAACTCTCGGTTCCGCACAGGCAGCGACACCCGGGTGCCCGCAGACAGTGACTTCCGAGCCCCCGCGATACGCTCCACGGGGTTCAAAATAGATCTAATTCCACAGCCAGCGCGGCTGCCTTCTCCAAATCCAAGAGGGCTGTCGGCTCGGAAGGAACTTTCCCCAGTGTTGGGATGGCCCCGGCGGGAGGTTTGGGTTTGCGGGAAGGGGGTTAATGTGGGCTGGCGAAACCCCTCCGACAAGTTTTTCTTCTTTTCTTCGCCCTACGCAGGGCGCGCGTCCTTTCTCGCAGCCGGAGGGATGGGCAGCCCTAAAGAGCTGAGCCCAGGGAAGGCTAGGGCTGCAGCAATCTGAGGTCCAAAAGCCAGGGAAAAAAAAAAAAAAAAATGTGTGTTTAAAAAAGGGGGGGGAGGAAGAGGAAGAAGAAAGAAATGGGGGGGAGCGAGGGGAGTCAGGCCAAAACCTATCGGGAAAGGGTTCCTCCTGGGTTAGGAGGAGGTGGCCACAAGCCCCGCTGAGCCCCGGGAGTTTGGTGGCGGAGGAGGCGCCGCCGCCGCCGAGCTCCCCCGCGCTTCTGCTCCACACTTTGGGGAGGGAAGGCAGTTCGCAATTTGCCAGATCTGCCGCTGCACCCTCCTCCCTCCTCCCCCCTCCTCCCCCTCGCTCCTTCAGGCTTCTCCCACCTTCCTCCCCGAAACCGGCAGCTAGCACCGACCTGTCCAATGGCTGCACTTTCCTCGGGGCTGGCAGAGGAGTCGCCGAGAGATTAAGCCGGAGGAGCCAAGCAAGGGGGAGTGAGAGGGCAACTCCAGCCCGGCGCGCCCCCAGCAGCCGGCTGCCCGGAGAGCCAGGAGAGGAGGCGAGGAAGGCGAGCTAGGAGGGGAGCACCGGGCTGCACCTCCACAGCGCCGGGGCGCCATCCTGCACCCAGCTCTTGGCCTTTGCAGCCCCGCCAGCGGCGCCTTCGCCCACCTGGCCCCCAGGCCGCCTTCGCGCACAGCTGCGGGGGGAATCGCGGCCCTCGCACCGTAAAGATGCCAGCCGCTGGCGGGGTCTTCCTGAGGGCTAAAGGGTTAATTGCAGTTCGCCATTCCCGGGAGGGCGTGTGTAGCATTGGTTGGAGTGTGAAGAAAGCAAACCCGAGCATGTTCAGCTACTGACCCCGAGAAACCCCTTCGGACCCCAGACCCTCAAGACGGGAGGAGGAAGGTAGCGCGCTGGATCGTAGTCCCGCCGCCGCGGCTGCTTTGTAAAGTGTCAGCCCGAGGGAAAGCGAGAGTTTAAAGAAACAGGAGGCCCATTGAATTTCCTACGGGGGCTTTAACAGGCATTCGCTTGCTAGTTTGTTTTTGTTTTTTCAGCTCTGGGATGTGTTTCCGAGTTAACTCTTCCCGGCCCTCGCACTAGTTTACATCTTATTTTGCTTAGTTAATCTCATTTTAAAGGGACAAATACAAAGAAAGGTAGCACAGCATATTGATAAATACAGATTCTAGAACCAGACTGCCTGGGCTGGAATTCCACCTCCCCCCCACTAAATAGCTATATCACTTTGAACAAGTAGTTTCATAGTGCCTCAGTTCCTCATCCATCAAATGGGGAGAACTGTAGTAATGCCCTTATAAGGTTGTATTGAATTCAGAGTTATTACTGGATACTTAATTGAAAACAGCCCCTGTGCAAAGTACAAGTGTTTATGTTTCTTAAGAGAGACAGGAGAGGGAGAGGAGGGTCCTCAATCAGTGAAGAGTTTGCTTCACTGTTCTTAAATTCAAAAGGTCCTATTAGTCTATTCTTGCCCACTTTATTCCATGCTCTGAAGAGTTTCTGGATGCTATTAATGAGCACCTGTGAACAGAAGCAACCTAATTCAAAATGGAGTCAGCGGCAATGAAGGGAGGCTTCTCACTAGTCACAGACCACCCTTTGCAGCTTCCTTTACATACCCCAGCGGGAAAGAAGCTTACTTTACCTACCCTAGGAGGAAGAAGAAAGATTTTCTCCTCGCTCAACAATAACCTAGAAGAGAAACAGCCACAACTCAGCCAATGAGAAGCTGCAACCCTGAACTCTTCCCTCTTCTCCAATAAACCTTCTCTCAAAACAACCAAACCCTTCCTATCCTCTATAAAGGCAAGCCCCTGTCCTTTGTTCTTCAGACTTGCCTATGGTTTATCATAGCTTGCAGGTCCCAAATTGCAATTGCCCTCCTATTCCCAAATAAACTTTTCTTGCTGGTTAAATAACTGGCAATTTTATTTTTAAGGTTTATTTTTAAGGTTGGCAGACCTTAATTTTGTCACAAAACCCACTGGAAGTGGATCCAGATAATCAAACTACTCTGCTAATTTGTAATGCAGAAAGAATGGCTCTCTCTCTCTTACTTAGCTGGTGAGAAGGGAAACAGGAAGTGCGACATGTGTTCCATAATCTAATACTCAATTTGCTATTTATATCAGAAATACATATGTATACACACATATGTATATAAACATGTTACCTATATACACTTTATTATTCTAAAGGCCGTTGCTCTCTCCTGAGCTTTCTCACAACTGGTTGATTTCCTCCTCACCATACTTAGAAAATCTGGTTCTTTTATTTCTGCTCAACTGAGAGTTTTTAAGTTCTGTGTAACATTACAACCAAATCTGAGTACCTGAGATACTTATCTGTTTAACATTAAGTTGGAAAACAATTTTCTAATCGAAATTTGGTTATTGTTTAATCGATGTTGAATTTTTTGTCTACATCCCTAGTGAGGTCACCACTTCATGAATCCATGTAGAAAGCTTCCTAAAATGTTCTGTACAACTCCAGTCCCCATTATATGCAAAATTATAAGAAACCCCACAGGCGCCATCTCGAGAAAGCATGACTTCTTTTAGTCTGGGATATTTCCCTCTACTTTCACAGTTTAAAAAAAAAAAAAGGTGTTTCCTCTTTTTTTTTTTTTTTTTGAAGAGAACCAAGTTCCATCTCTCCCTAGCATCATTTTCTTTGTTTTTTTCTTTATTATTATTATATGCAAATTAGGAGTATTTTTCTTGTTTGCTGTCAGCAATGCTTTGCCCTCCTGACTGAAGCTATAAATGGCAACACTGAAAGGAAGCCCAATGGTAATTCAGAGTGATTCTGGAAAGGTTTTTTATGTGTTTTGTCTATCACTGGTGCTGTTTAATTGTTTCATTTTACTCATATGATCTTATTCTGAAGACTCACCCACATAAAAAAATACTTAGGTATGGGAGAAGATATAGGTAAGCAAAAATCAGTGATGCATGATATTTTAATGCCCAGAACTAAGAGAGAACATCATAAACACAGGATTTAATGTTTTGCCTTAGATATCCATTGATAATCACTTATATATATAAATATATATATTACCTTTACATTATAACAAGCAACAAATAAATAAAGTGTATGTAGGACAGTATGTTCAGAGTGAAATGGAAGGAGCTCATTACTCATATAATCCTGGCTAATTAAAAGCAGTATATTTTGTGATCTACATGATTTCAGTTTGTGGTATACTCTGCACCACAGTATTATTGTCTATTTCAACTTCACGGAGACAAATTAAGGTGTCTCTGTGAAGAAAGCTTCATCTTCCATCTGACTTGAATGAAGAGTTATAATGAATGAGGCTCATTTCTATTTACTCTAGACACAAGAACTGCATTGCTGTGTTTTCACCCACTAGCTTAATTTTATCTAACCTCTCAAGGAATAAATCAGTCAGGAATCTCAAAGGACTAATACCTCAGTTCTTTGTCCATGAATAAGATTTGGAATTCACAGACCACTCTCCTCTAAGATCTTAAGATCTTATATCAGAATCATTGTCAACAACATAGAACTTTAAGCTAACCTAAGCTTTGTTATAATTTTCCACAATTTGGTCAAATAAAAGGAAATTGCTATTAGTGGATTGCTTTTACTTGGTCCTCAACTAATATTATGACCATTTCCTCTAGATCTCTGGCATTTCCTGTCCCTCCTCATTTGATAGGGCTAATTTTTTGATCTCTGATACAAAATTACAAGAATCATTTGTTCATCTTGGCTGACTTCTGCTCTCAGAATCAACCAGGATTTCATTATACTGTTGATGGATATTTCACCTTTTTTTCCCCTCTTTTATAGTTTTATGTAAAAATTTCATGAATAGAGTGTTTTTGAATCAAGTAATTATTTAAAAAAATCACCTAACAGCTAACATCACTTTTTACAGAAAGAGTTAACAGGAAGAATACTTAATGCCCTTTCTCCTCATATCAATACTACACTTACTGTTTAGATGAAATTAACAACATAATTATATTTTAATTATATTTTGCTCATTCATAATGAAATAAGACATTGCATTAAAATTTCACTCATGTTTATACTGTTTTCCTTCTAAATCTTAATAAGCTAAAATTTTCTTAATCAGTAAATAGTAAAGTACAAAAATGTGCAAGTTGAAGTAGTAGAAAAGCAACTATTAAAATGGATTATTAAAAATAATTATGAAAAAGAGTAGGAGCATTATCTTACATTTCTTCTTAAGTAGAATAATGTGTAGTAGAAATATAGACCTCGTTTATTCCTCAATGGTACTCAAAGAGAAGTTAAAATCCTGCAGTTTTCAAAAAAAGGAAAATGGGCAAGTGCTCAGCAAGCACTTAGTGAATAAATGAAATAAATATGTTAAAGAATATTCTGCACAATGCCAATAATGGAGCACATGGAAAGACTCTGAAAATGTTGATTGTTGTGGACATCATTACTAGCCTTATATACTACCCAGATTTTTCTGAACTGATAAAAGTGTCTGAAGTACAGA